GGTGCATGTCCCCGTGCCTCTGGCACTTGTCACACCTCTTGACGTGTTCCTTGGCGTCCTGCTGCATCGTAGGCCAATAATACCCCGCTCGAAGGGCTTTCCTCGCCAGGGATTTACCACCCATGTGCTGGGCGTTGATCCTTTCATGTATCTCCCGCAGTACCTCGGGGACTGTGGATTCGTCGATGCACTTCAGGAGGGGAATGGAGAATCCTCTGCGGTATAGTTTTTGCTCGAGCACCACGTACGAGCATGCTCGTCGTTTTGTGGTGGTTGCATTTGTCTGGTTCGAGGGTAGTTCGCCTTTCGTCAGGAAATTGTACACCGGGGTCATCCAGGATGAGGCGTCTCCTATGGCGTGGACTTCGACTGGTGTCGAGGATCTTTCGATGCTCGGGCGTGCTAAGGATTCTTGTATGACGGATTTGTTTCCGCCCTTCTTCCTCGTGCTCGCGAGTTTGGACAATATGTCTGCCCTTGTGTTTTGCTCGCGGGGGACATGTGAGATCTCCGCTCGTTCAAACTTTGCCATGTATTTTTTGACTGTTTAAGTATCCGACGAGGTTGTCGTTCTTGGCTTGGTAACTCCCTGGACTTGGGAGAAGACGAGTTGGGAGTCTGTGTAGATTTGTACTTCGCGGGCTCCCAGGTCCTCGGCTAGCCTCAGTCCTGCGAGCAGGGCTTCGTACTCTGTTTGGTTGTTCGACGTTGGGAAGGAGAGAGCTAACGAGTGTTCGACCACTACGCCTTCTTCGTTCTCCAGGAGGATTCCCGCGCCACTTCCAGACGAGCTGGAGGCCCCGTCGACGAAGATGGTCCATTTGTGTTCCTTCCCGACGGGTGGGTCATGAGCGGTCATTTCCGCGACAAAGTCGGTCAGGGCTTGTGCTTTCAGGGCTTTCCTGCTCTCGTACTGAATGTCGAATTCGGAGAGCTCCAGGGACCATTTCAACATTCTGCGCACCATGTCGGGCCGACCCAGGAGTTGCCTCATTGGTTGGTCGGTTCGTACGATGATTATGTGGGCCAGAAAATAGTGTCTGAGCCTCCTCTCCGCAATGACGAGGGCTAGGGCTACCTTTTCTATCTGTTGGTACCTGCTTTCGGGTCCTTGTAGGGCTTTGCTCGTGAAGTAGACAGGTTTCTGTCCGTCGGTGGTCTCGCGGATGAGAGCCACGCTGATGGCTTCGTTCGAGACGGCCAAGTATAGGAACAGTGGCTCCCCGTCGGCTGGTCGAGATAATACAGGTGGTTGAGATAAACTTTGCTTTAGGTGGCGCAGTGCCCGTTCACACTCCTCGTTCCATTTGAAGGCTGCTTCTTTACGAAGGAGTTTGAAGAAGGGGAGGGCGTGCTGAGCGGACCTCACGACGAAACAGGACAATGATGTGAGCATGCCGTTCATGACTTGTATCGACTTCTTCGACGTTGGTGTCAGGAGGTCAGAGAACGCTCGACACTTGTCGGGGTTAGCTTCGATTCCTCGTCCTGTTAGGTAGAATCCGAGGAATTTACCTGCCTTGACTCCGAACGTGCATTTCTCGGGATTGAATCTCATTTTGCTTTGTCTTGCTTGGGCAAAGACTGCCTTGAGGTGTGTTGCATGGTCGGTGTCTGCTCGGGATTTGACGATCATGTCGTCCATGTAAACCTCGAGCATGTCCCCGATCTGCTTGTGGAAAACCTTGTTCATCATGCGTTGGTAAGTTGCCCCAGCGTTTTTTAGTCTAAAGGGCATTACGTTGTAGTAATAGTTGCCCGAGCTGGTCATGAAAGCCGTGCAATGTTTGTCGCCTACGGCCATCGGGATTTGGTTATAGCCCAAGTAAGCATCCATGAACGACAATGTTCTGTAGCCGGTCGAGTTGTCGACCAACATGTCTATGTTCGGTAAAGGGAAAGCATCTTTCGGGCAAGCCCGGTTGAGATCAGTATAGTCAACACACATCCTCCATTTTCCATTATTCTTTTTAACAAGTACAATGTTTGACAGCCAGGTGGAGTATCGGGCTTCAGAAATAAAATTTGCCTCTAGGAGGTCTTTTACAGCTTTTTCAGCAGCCTCCGTTTTCTCTGGAGACTGCCTACGCCTACGTTGTACTACAGCCCTAGCGGCAGGATCTATGGCGAGGTGGTGACAGGCGACCTCAGAGTCGAGTCCGGGCATCTCCGCGGCGCTCCAGGCAAACAGGTCAGCATTCTCGCGCAAGCAGGCCTTGATTTGCTTCCTTGCTAGGTCGGGGAGATCCTTGCCAATCTTCACTCCTTTGCTCGGGTCTGTGCCGAGGGGAATGAGCTCAAAATCCCCGTCCGGTATCGGTCGGAGTGGAACTTGCTCGCTGTTGGAGGGTTCGTCCTGGTCAAAACGAGCGTCCAGAGCTATAGAGTCGACCTTTGGTGGAGCTTTCTGGACTTCTTCCTTGGCGGACTCTTGCTTGTCGGGCTCTTGTCGCGTCCTTTTGGCGGGCCTTGTCCCTACGTCGACGGTGTCGCGTCCCTTAGATGCAACGTTGAAACACCTCCGAGCAGCGGCTAGGTCTCCCTGGATAGTAGCTACCCGTGCCCTTTTGGTGTAGAATTTCATCTTCAGGTGGACGGTGGAGGGCACCGCTGTCAGTTCTGCCAGTGTTGGCCTTCCCAGGATGCAGTTGTAGAGGGACGGGCAGTCGATGACGAGGAAGCGTACTTTGACCTATCTTGTCGATGTTCCCTCGCCGAATGTAACCAGGAGCTCGACATATCCCCAAGGTTTGGAGGTCGAGCCGTTGAAACCCTGTAAGTCCGACCCTACATATGGCGAGAGATGTGAGTCGTCCAGCTGCAGAGTTCGGAACAATTGGATGTACATTACGTCGACGGAACTTCCTTCGTCGACGAGGATGCGATACACATCGAAGTTGGCCATTCTTGCCCTTATCAGCAAGGGGATGACCGCGTTGGGGGCTCCCCCGGGGAGCTCTTCTAGATAGAAGGTGATGGGTTCTGACCTGCCCTTCACCCTTTCAAATGTCACTGTTTGCGGGGGTGCCGCGTCGACCAGCTCATCCAGCTTCCTCTTTGCCGAATTAATGGTCAAGTCGTTGAATCCTCCACCGTTGATGACCATGGCGGAGGGGAAATATTTCCACCTGCTGTGTGTTGTGAGCGGCTCCTGCAGGTGTTCGGGGACGTCGAAGTCCTCGGGTCTAGTCACAGAGAAGGCGGTCTGGATGGGGACCGACTCGTCAGATGGTCGGGCGTCTTCCTCCGACTCTCCTGTCTCCCGGGCGTCACGGCGAGGAGCGTCATTTCTCCGGTATTGTGCAAGCCTTCCTCCCTTGATGAGGGTTTCGATGGCGTCCTTGAGGTGGATGCAATCCTCAATCAGATGACCATGGCTCATATGGTACTGACAATATTTGTTCTTGTCTGCTCCGGGCTTGGAGGGAGCAGGTCGGGGACATTTGACGCCGCCGTCCTTGAAGTCCGTGCCGGCACACTCCGCCAAAATGCGCTCGCGGGAAGCTGTGAGCGGAGTGTACTCGGTAAAGTGCCCCGAGGGTCCTCGTTGCTCTCGAACTTCCCGGGGTCTGTCTTCTTTTCTTTTCTCCCCGGTTCGTCGAGGAGGAGCTTCCTGGCGCGAGTTGCTGTTGGACCCGCGAGTCCTGGGGTCTCGGGCTCTGTTGGCCGCTTCTCTCTCCTCGTAGTCCATGTACGCCCGAGCCTTTTCGAGGAGGGCATCGAATGTTTTGGGTGGCTCGATGCCCACGGCCTTTCTGAACTCCATGCCGGGGAGGAGCCCCCTCTCCAGCAGATATCTCTTCATATGGTCCGCGCAGGGGACTTATATGGCTTCGCGATTGAAGCGATTGATGAACTCTCTCAAGGTTTCATCCTGTCTCTGGATGATGGCCTCGAGAGCCGCCTCGGTCTTCGGGTGTCGCCGAGATGCTGTGAATAAACTGATGAACTGGTTTTTCAGGTTCCGCCATGAGGTGATTGACCCCGGGGCGAGTCCTTTGTACCAGTCCATTGCTGCCTTCCTGAGGGTCGTGGGGAACAACCGGCATTTGATGGGGCCCCCGACATTGTGATAGTGCAGCATAGCCTTGAACCCGTCTATGTGGTCGACCGGGTCTGCGACTCCATCGTATTCCTTCAAGTGTGGAGGCTTCTCCATGCCCGGGGGGATGGGCGCCTCCATGATAGCCTGCAACAGGGGACCGCGGGGGTCGTCCTCGTCGCTCCGTTCCGGGGACAGAGATGGGGACCTGTAATACTGTCGGGCACGACGGTCCTGGCCGTGTTGGGTATCTCTCGAGTGTGGTGCTTGTTGGTTGATTCTTCCACGCCCGTCTCCGGAGTGTCTTCTTTCCTGTCTCGCGGGGATGCGGCCGCGTCCTTCGGCTTCGATGATGGGTTGCCTCTCCAAAGGGGGTCGTCTCCCCGTTGGGCGGGGCGACGGGCTTCGAGAGGTATCTCTGTAATGTCTCCGTGGGGGAGATGGGAGATGGACTTCAGTCACTCGAGGAGGTGGAGTTTGGGGCCTCCGGTGCCTCCTCGGGGGTCTTCGATCGTCTTCAAGTGCCCTCAATCTTTCCCCTTGGGCGAAGATGAGGTAGTTTGTCTGATTGATCGCTACGAACAGCGCTCGGGTTGTGGCATCTGCCCCGGCGGGGACGGGGACTTCCTGAAACTGTGTGGCTCGATAGTTCGTGAGAGCCGCATCGTCTTCTTCGAGTGGCGGAGGGACCGAGGAAGATGACGCGGTAGCTCCGTCGCGGTGGGTTGAAGGCCCGGGGGCAGTTGACACAGGGATGGTGTTATGACCGGGGTTACCGGCGTTGTCAAGGTGTCCGTTTTTGTCCGCGGGGCCGTTGTTGGTGTCGACGGCGCAGATGTTTTGTTCATCGCGAGCTTGGTCAGCCATGACGGTGGTAGTCGAGTTGAGCTTTGGTCTTTGAGTTTTTGCAAGACGGGGAAGCTGGTTTCCCACAGACGGCGCCACTGATCTTATCGGATCAGACTTGGACCGTCACGACTGACTCCGAACTGAAGTTGAACGAGATGGGGGGATACCTGCAGGGCACTCCGATGCTAAAGTGAGTGAGAGTACGAGCAGGCAAAAAGTATGAGTATGGGTAAGAGAATGAATACATGACCCTCTGGGAACAGAGGGTATTTATAGCCCACAGCGCTGGGCCAAGGTCCCATTCATTGGACCGGACAGATTTGGCCCAATGAAGGAACTGCCAGGTTCTACGTGTGTAGTGGGGACCCGCACGTGGTCTCCTTCCTGGGTGTTCTGCGAGAAGTACGGACGGACGAGGACGCGGTCTTTTCGGAATCCAAGTGATGACATAATGGTCATAGTCTGCCCTACGAGGGGCGCTCGAGCTGAGGTCGAGCGGGACTGCATGAAGTCGAGGATGTCGTACTAGCGGATAGTGTCGGGCACGATTGTAGCTTCTTGATCGGCGCGACCCTCTACAAGACCGTTTGGATTGGGCCTTCATCCTTGCTTTTGGGCCAGCCCGGCCCAGTCCAAAACATAATTGATGACACATTAGTTATATAATTTTATCCTAACTTTTTTGAGATGGTAACACATTCCTCATCTAAATAAAAATACAAGAACATACGAAACTACAACATCGGTTCAACTTAGCAATTTAACATAGACCATATTCAAATGGTGTACCCAAATTAGAGTTATTTTTATTGAAGCATACAAGAAATTCACTTAGAACATAGCTAAGCCATCTCCTTAATCACTTTTTGCATGGTGGAAGCGGTGAGCCACACAAAGCCTTGTTGTGAAAAAAAGCATAAACATCAAACCTCTTCTGCAACTCACCACCCTGCGGTATTTGACCAGACAACCTATTATAACTCACATTAAACTGCTGCAAATTTTCCACTTTCGTCAACGCCACTGGAATCTTCCCGTATATGTTATTATGATTCAGATCCAACCATATCAAACTCTGCTTCGGAAAATCAACCTTTGACAAATCAAACGACAATAAGTTCCTTGAAACATCAAGTATCTGTGTCCTTTTCATGCTCCCGAAAAGCACAGAAGCATCACCTTCAAGCTTGTTTCTGGATAAGTCTATCCTCTCTGGATCTATTTGACCTAATGAAGCTGGGATAGGCCCAGAAAGCTGGTTGTGAGATAGGATGATATCTGGGCCGGGCTTTTTGAACGAACCGAATGACTCTGGAATTGGGCCGGTGAGCTTGTTTCTGTCTAAGTGTAAGGACTCGAGGTTAGGTAACTGGGAGAGTGAACTGGGGATTGAGCCGGTGAGATTGTTGGTGGAAAGATGAAGAAGCTGGAGGTTTGTGAGTTGAGACAGGAAAGATGGTATAGAGCCTGAGACATTGGTGTATTCGATGAAAAGATATTTGAGGTTTTTGAGCTTGGCTATGGTGGGTTGGATTGGGCCTGTGAGTCTGGGAAGTTTGTGGAATTCGAGATTCTGGAGATAAGGGAGGTCACCGACGGAAGGAGGGATATGGCCGGAGAGATTTGTATCTGGGACGGAGGATTGCATGATTAGGGCGGTGATACGGTGAGATTTGATGTCGCACTCGACACAGTACCAGTCACAGCAATCTGTTTTTGGGTCCCATGAGGCTAGAAGGTAAGGGTTGTTGAGTTCTTGTTTGATTCTGAGGAGAACTTTCTTGTCTTGTGGGTTGCATTTCTCAGAGAATGTAACTGGGGAGAGTAACAGGAGGGACAGGAAGGTTAGAGCTATTGCAGCTCTACTAAACACGGTTTTCATTTTGGGTGGGGGATGGAATTTTACAAGCTTGAATGGTGTAAGTAATAAGTGGGAGGGTGTTGATACTTATAGAATGTTCAACTTTTTAACGCGTGGTTCTGATTTTACTGGATAAATAATTCGGAGAAAATCCACTCCCATGTAATAATGTGAAACACGTGACTTTGTTGTTTGTTGAATGCTAGTTGCTTTCATTGTCTAATTCACTCAAATTTAGCTTTCTTCTTCTTCTAATCCACAGGTAGAGCCGTCAATTTAAGGGGTCAATGTCTAATTTTTGAAACTCTAAAATATAGGGGCTAAAAATTTTAAAAATAAATGAACTAAAACAAAAGTAAGTCCTCTTAATTAAAAGTCCTTAAAATTTAAGTAAAACTTCAAAGCTCAAACTTTTTCATAAAATATTTCCTTTTTAATATTTTAGTAAAAAATTAACTTTTTTATTTTTCATAACAAATCAATTTTTTATTTTTGAAAAAACACGACTTTTTTTATTTTTTAAAAAAAGTCGGTTATTGTTATTAAAAAAAAAAATTTCCTATTTTTGACAAAAAGTCGTTTTTTTTTTTTAAACTCAACTTATATTTTCGATAAAAACCGATTTCGGAAAAATCAATTTTTTTACGGAAATACAAAAAAAAAAAAATCAATTTCTTTTAAAAGAATACAATAAATCGCGTTTTTTTGCGGATATAAAGTAAATAGAGTTTTTATGAAAATATTGTAAATCGAGTTTTTTACGGAAATACAGTGAATTGCATTTTTTTACGCAAATTCAGAAAATAACATTTTTATGGAAATACAGTAAATCACGTTTTTGCATAAATACAGTAAATAACATTTTTTTTACGAAAATACAGTAAATCGAGTGTTTTTAAAAATACCGTAAATCAAGTTTTTTTTACAGAAATACAATAAAATAAGTTATTTCCGAAAATACAGTAAATCATATTTTTTTACAAAAATACAGTAAATCATATTGTTTTTACAGAAATACAATAAATCACTTTTTTTTTCGAAAATATAGTAAGTTGAGTTTTTTTACTGAAGTAATGTAAATCACAGTTTTTTTACGAAAATACAGTAAATAGCATTTTTTATGGAAATATGTTAAATTGTGTTTTTGCGAAAATATAGTAAATACCATTTTTTGTGGAAATTCAGTAAATCAAGTTTTTTAACAAAAAACCGTAAAACGAGTTTTTTTATGGAAATACAATAAATCACATTTTTTTAGGGAAATACAGTAAATTGCATTTTTTATGAAAATACAATAAATCGAGTTTCTTTTAACAAATACTATAAATCACATTTTTAAAAAAATACAATTAATCGAGATTTTAAACAGAAATACAGCAAATTGAGTTTTTAATTAGAAATACAGTAAATCAAGTTTTTTATGGAAATACAATAAATCGAGATTTTTCACGGAAATACAAAAAATTGTGTTTTTGCGGAAATAAAGTAAATAACATTCTTTAATGAAAATACAGTAAATCGAGTTTTTTAACAGAAATACAATAAATCGAGTTTTTTTTACATAAATACAATAAATCGAGTTTTTAAAGAAAATAGGGTAAATCACATTTTTTTACAAAAATACAGTAAATTAAATTTCTTCACAGAAATACAATAAATCATTTTTTTTTAGAAATTACAATAAATCGAGGTTTTTTTATGGAAACAGAGTAAATCGCGTTTTGACATAAATACAGTAAATCAATAATTTTTTACAAAAAAACGGTAAATCACATTTTTTTACAAAAATACAGTAAATCAAGTTTTTTATAGAAATACAGTAAATCGTGTTTTTTCAAAAATACAGTAAATTGAATTTTTTTACTGAAATAAATTAAATCGCATTTTTGACAAAAATACAGTAAATTAGGTTTTTTATTACAGAAATACAATAAATCACGTTTTTTATGGAAATACAGTAAATCTGTTTCTTTTGGAAATACAGTAAATTACATTTTTGATAGAAATATAGTAAATTGCATTTTTTTACGGAAATGCAGTAAATCAAGTTTTTTTTATAGAAATACAGTAAATCATATTTTTTTCTTCGAAAATACAGGAAATTGGATTTTATGAAAGTACAGTAAATCACATTTTTATAGGAATACAGTAAATCGAGTTTTTTGAGGAATTAAGTAAATTGTTTTTTTTTTGTTGAAAAGTCAACTCTATTTTCGATAAAAACCGACTTTTCTTATTTCGACAAAAAAATAGTTTTTTGAAATAGACAACTTTTTATATTTTCGATAAAAATCATCTTTTCTTATTTTCGATAAAATTATTTTTTAATATATTTTTATTTTTCAAAATAAAATTAGTTTCCAAACAATTTAGTTCTAAATAAATTATATTTTGAACCCCTTACTTAGGCCCCTAAAAAACAAAAATACGAGAGGAAAATAAAAATAAGGGGCCAAAATATTTTTTATTTAGTAAGAAGCCTAAAATAAGAGGGCTAAATAGGGGCGTAATTATAAGGGCTTTACTATTTAAGGTTTTTTGACTCCTCTATCTACGGACACTTAAGTCTGCCTAAACATTACTTTCTCTTTTCTGAAAAAATTTGAGATGTCTCATGCGGAAAAAAAAAAGCTAATCCTCTTTGCGATCAGATCCTTCTAGCTTTAACGGATTTTGCTGAGCTGTTTTTCGAAGTCGCTCCAATCTCTAAGATTCGTGAACTAATTTCTTTCTCCTTCACATAAATACTGAAACAACTATTGAAATCCTTTGCTCAAGCTCTGAAAGGGGTTTGTGATATCCTTTATTCTCAGTTTCCTCAGTCCATCATTAAAGGGGATAGGCTGTCTATTACCATCCCAGAAGAAGAATACAAAGCTGGTATGGATGAATATAAGAACAATCTCCATGGTAGGGTTCTACACCGCTCACAGTGGTGGCTCTCAGAAAGAAACTTTCTCTTATGTGGTCTGAAGTGAAAAATTGGAAAGTTCAATCTCTTGGTAAAGGTTATTACGAGATCACATTTTCTAATACTGAGTGTTAAATTATAATTCATAGTGTCAAAAAGATTAGATTTATTTATATTTAAATAGATTTGATTTAAGTCTAGAATAAATTAGATTTGATTTAGTAACAAAATAGATATTTTGGGCTTTGAGCTTAGGGTCCAAGCTCAATTATAAATAGAGGGGGTAACCCCTATTTTTTGTAAGCAAGTCAAGCAAGTCATTCACAGTATTTTACAGTTGCAAAGTGAATAAGAAAGTTTTCACAGTTTGTGAGCAGAGAGAAACTTTGCAGAAAATAATTGTCCTGTCTTCTTTTCTTTCTTTTTCTCATAATTAATCGTCATTGTGGTAGAAATTCATCATAGTCTTTTAGTTGATTTCTAACACTGAGGATATGCGCATGGTTAGGGCCTCTGGTTGTATCAGCTTAAATCCGGGATCTCTGAAGCTCTTTGCTTGGACAAGAAATTTCAATCCAACTATTCAAAATAATACCTCTGCTCAAGTTTGGGTTCGTTTCTTCGGGCTTTCTTAGGAGTATTAGAGACCCCTAATTCTATTTGCTATCGCTAGTTGTTTCGTGCCCCTATTTGAATTGATTCTGCATCTGCCAAACCCAAGATGGATCCAACGTTTGGCCATTTTTTAAGAGTGCTTATCGATATGGATTTAGATTTTCCCTTGCATCATAATGTGTTGATGGAAAGGGAAGGTTATTCCTTCTTCTCTGATATAGAGTATGAAAACCTACCTGATTTTTGTAGTCACTGCAGAAAAACTGGT